CTTAGGGACTAGAAAAGCGCTATACAAATGCAGGCCATTTACCATTTACCATGGCTCAAGTTTCTTATTTAAATAAAAATGTAAAAAAAAAATTGCCATTTTTCTTCTTTTCAAAGACACTGAACTGGGACCAGTTCAGCCCACACCTATATAGCATCACAACCCTGCTATTTGCATTCATGAAAACACACACACAGTTTTCCATAAAAAGCCATTTTTCTGCTTTGCCCGTCTCTATTTCACGCTAATATCCCACTGCACTGAATATTATGGTAAGTCCTATTAAGGGAGACAGCTGACAGCACTGGTGATGAACAATAATAAGAACATTCTGTATCTCCTGTTAGCTGCAAGTCTTTCTTGTTCCATTGTCCTCTGTGGTTTGCTGTTATCTAAAGAGCAAGCATTAGCCTCACCAGAGCACTCACACCCACATTTTTACAAGATCCCTACTCTGCAACTTATTACCAAACAGGGACGAGGAAAATACCTGCATCCTGCACGACAGGATAATTTATACCAAGTTGGATGAAGGACAGAGTCTGCAGGGTGATTGTGCTCCACACTGTCCTCCGGGCTTGCTGTAAAGGCCCAAATGACACTGACAGCACGGTAAATGAACAAATAAATAAGTAAACATCATTAAAAATGCACCATACATGCATGTGCATAAATAAGTGAGGACACAGTTTGGGGAAACACAAACTGAATTATTTCTTATTAAAAAAATATAAAACTTCAGATGAATTATTCATGCAGACACCCTCACACGTGTCACTACCCATTAGAATACACTCTTACTGGGAGTGTTGTCATATTGGTCAATCTAACAGTAAACTGGACACAGCTCTCATCATTACTCACACAGCAGGCAGAGTTATGCCTTATGTCCTATTATTATAGAGCTTCCTGAGATCCTCAATTGATGTTTCTGTAAAGAACCTGCTCAAGGAAAAGCTCTGTTGGCACTGTTATGGGTTTTAAATCAATGCAAATGCAGAAAGTCCAATTTCTCTACTTTATTTAGATGGAGTAGCCTGGGGACATTTTTCCCCAAAACTCAAAGCTCTGAATGCAGGTATTAACGCACATCATGACCTCATTTACTTTGATAATATATACAGTAAGTGAACACTTTGTATTGTGAGGTAGAAGCTGTGACTTCCCCTCTTCGTTTAAAGCAAACAGAAGCTTTCTGAAACTCGGGCACCGGCAGATGATCCTGAGAGTGAAATGCAGACGGGAACGTCGTGTTTATCCTTCCGAGTAAAATAAACAGAATAAAACTCAGAGTGAAAAATCAACTTCTTTGAATTGAGGCGCAACAAGGTTTATGTGGTTGGAATTTTAAAAGCTTCATTTCAAAGACAGACATAGCCACAGTCACATCACATTACAGTTTCTGTACTACAGCGTGCCAGTCATGGTCATTTTTTTGAAGATGGGTGGAACTGGTTACCTAATCCTACCAATACAAGACTGAACAAACAGCGTACTGCAAAGCCTGTGTGGGGAAAAACCTTCCCCACTTTATCAACTACTTTAGTCTAAACAGGACCATCATCATTTACTAAATTCAATAATATACTGTAGGGAAGTGAGAAGTGATGTGAAGTTTATGTAGAAGCACTTTTTTTTTCCTTTTTTTTTTGCCTGTCCCATTTGGTTCTTTAGCCGTCAGAATTGTTGTCTGAAGACCAACAAGGATACCCAATGGATTTATTTTGCCAAATGGATCATCATGGCATTGCCGTATTGGTCCATTTGATCGACCTTTGTTTTTATTATTTATTTTATTTTCAGTTGTTACAGACGGGACAGACATGAGTGAGGGATAGGAAAGGGAGAAAGAAAGAGGAAGGAAAAGAAAAACAGAAGGGGAGAGGGACATTGAGAAAGGGGGGGAAAAAAATATCTCCGGGATCACCTGTTGAGAGAAAAAGAATAGAAAACAAGCAAAAAAAACAAAACAAAGCAACATACTAAACACAACACCATCGCATTAATCTAGCTAAGTGTAAACAGCAGTAAATACTAAATATTGAATGTTGTTGTGCAGCACGCAGGACAGACAGCGCACAATGTGCTTTGAAGTAGCAGCCAAGAAAGGTGTGATTTAAGTCTACGAACAGTGAACACCCGTGTGCACACCTGTGTGGATCAGCGCGCTTGTATTCAAATGGTTTCCCCATGCAATGGTCTGCAAGAAGATGTATAGAGCCATAGCCCTGCCCCAGAGGCCGGAGGCCCGAGGGCCCCCCGCGCCCCGGAAGACGCCATGTAGAAGCACATTTAAGTGCAAACTGTTTGACAAACAAAAGAATATGAAATAAGATAACAACAAAACTGATCAACCTCAGTCTGTATGTCTGGGTGGTGGTGGTTAGTAATACTGGGTTACCACCAGTAGAAGTTCTTTGATGACCCTGCAGTGGTTGGCTGCACTAAGGGTGGGCAGGAGTTCAAGTACAGAAAGCTGGTCACTGCGATGAATGGCAGAATGGACTGGAGAACCAACAGCAATGCTCCGTACAAGAAGGGGATGAGTAAACTCTACTTTCTAAGGAAGCTCTGGTCCTTTAATGTGTGCAGCAAGATGCTGGAGATCTTCTACTAGTCTGTGGTTGTAACGCCCATCTACTTTGCTGCTTTCTGCTGGGAGGAGCAGCATCAGTGCCAGAGATGCCAGCAGGATCAACAAACTGATCCACAAGGCTGGAAGCATCATTGTCCAGAATGTGGACGCGTTTAAGTCACTGAGGGCCAGCACGTAACTGAAGATTTAGTGTACATATTATTTATTACTACTCTTTTGCAAAATTCTCAAAAGTCTTATTTTTATTTTACTTCCCTATATGTAAATTTTTGGACTCTCTCACAGTATAACGCCCTTGTTATGTGCTTTAACAAGAAAGAAAGAACCCACCTTCTGACAAAACTGGGGGGAAACATAAATCCAACAGCAGTAAACAGAAATCAGTATTCAGTCTGCTTTAAAAGCCAAATAATGCTCATACGAGTTTCAGAAATGACTAATTTTGGAAAGGTCCTGATGTGAAGGTGCAGTTTGGTCCACTGCAAAGGCCTGATCTCCTTTATGTTTTAATCAGGACCTTGGGACAGCTAGGAGCATCTGCTCAGCAGACCTCATTGATCTAGTGGGAGTGAGCAAAGTTAAAAGATCAGAGACGTAAACAAGTGCCAACCCATGTAATGGCTTAAAAACAAACAAGAAAATCTTCAAATCAATTCTAAAACTCAGCAGGAGGCAGATCTAAGGAAGCCAACACGAGTGGTATCTGGTCTTGCTCGCATGAGCCAGTTTAACAGCTGAGCAGCTGCAGTCGGCCAAGCAGTGACAGACTGAATAAAGACGCAACAGTCGAGACAAACTGAGGGCATGGATGCCCTCTGAAGCAGAGCAAACAAGCTCGTTTTAACAACCGCATGGATCCGTTTATCAAACGCAAAAAGTGCTGTGCAGACCACTCCCAGGTTCCTCACACAGAGTTTTATAGATCCTTAAAGGCCTGAAGCAATGGCAACAACTGAACATGTGAAACTAGTGGTCGAGCAAAAGCTTAGCAGAAAAACGTTAACTGAGGTCACAAATCGAGTGATTATTTTCTCATAGACCTCAATAAATCTGACTACTTTTCACAACCACAGGAGTCGCCCCTTGCTAACTATGAGATAAACACAAATTGAAATGGCAGTTTAGCTAGAATTAATCCGTATTTAGTAATGTGGTAGAAAACACAGGGAACCGCTCTGGAACTAAACCCAGAGATACAATTTGTTATTTTATCTCTCTTGTTAGAACAATAATTGTCTTGAAGTGTGAAAATTGGGAGCAATGCAATGTCTCAAACACGAGGAACTAACATTTACAGTATGTCGCTCATGTGATAAACTGGAGGGAACCTGGAAACTTCCTGGATTTTATTATAAACAAGCTTTAAAAACAGTTGACGCTGATCCTTCTCTCTGTAGCAATATGAATAAGTACAACACTCACCTCGATGAGTTTGCGTTCATAGCTAGCAGCCAGCTCCTCAATGTCGCCCATGAACTTATTCTGTGGAATTGGAGTCTGCTCTTCGCTTGACCGCAACACGGACAGGGCTGCAGCAGACAGAGAAAGAGAGAAGGAGCATTCACAAAGATGAAAAGATACAAAGGACACGCTGTGGTGAAAAACTCATATTACAGAGCTTGTCATCTTCTGTGGTGAGCTTTGACACTGGCAGCTGTTCCATGTCTTGTTTTGAACAACGCAACCATGCAAACACAATGAATCTCAATTTTGAATGCGATATGAGTATAACAATATAGTCTACTTGAAAGACAACAACACGTCCACAGAGTACGCACTCTCTTAGAGTATGCATATACACTTCCTTTCATGTGCACTTAAAACCACATTTTTCTTTCTCAGAAATCTTCTTACTGTTCTGTCAAAATGATAAACTCCCCTTCTCTCACCATTGCCTGTTCTACTCCGACTTCCTCTTCAGATAGAGTTTATTGTTTCTTTGCACTACTGTAGCTTGCTAACTCGCTAAAGTCATCCCAGCAGAGCCTGAAGCGGCGCTTCTGAGCCTATTAACGTCAACTAATCCAGTTCCCTCAGCAAAGAACGGCAGAACACGCTAAAGTCAGAGCACTGAATCGTTTTTCTTTTTTTTCCCCAGAAGGTGGGTGTAAGATGGATTGTTTTTTCACCTCAGCAAAAGCAAATTAACAGTGTTATTTCACTGCCACCACACATAACAAACACAGAGACTAATAGACTGAGGCTAGAAGGAGGGAGAGACGGGGAGAGAGACACGAGCCAAGACAAATAAAAGAGGTTGAAAATAAATTACACAGGAACATATTCAGCATGTCCAAAGGCCCAACAGAGCTCAAATAAACTCGTGGCAATGGCTCTTTAGGGGGAGGTTTTAGAAAATCTACAGCTAGACTGTAATTATAGAGAGAACTTCCAGCAAGTGTCTGAACGTCTAGACAGAGTGAGACAGGTATTGATGAAGGAGCTTCCTGTGGTTCCAAACAAAGGTACCGTAGGGAGAACAGCTGCTGAGAATCACAGGCAGGTACAAGTTCACAAATAAGAGGAGTAAAGTTATCCAAGTGGACTGCTGGTACGCACACATACCTGTTCACATACTGTAAGCATGTGCATTTTATTCTCTGGAGCAATAGTTCTCCAGGTTGTTTTAAAGTTATTTCTTTGTTTTTCTTTGGACATTGGCTGCTTTTTTCATTGATTTCCAGTCCAGTCCAGTACCTGATCATTTTTACAGAAATGCCTTTCACAAAATAAGCTTATAGCTAAAAAAGCTTAAACACTAAAGCCTATGAACACAAAAAAGTACCATCAGCTGAGTGACAATGATCCCAAACACACTTCCAATGCAATAAAAGCAAATAAAAACCTGGATAGAAAAACACACAATGGAACGCTATCCTTCGTGGATCAGCATGAATTATTTTCTCGCTGAAACTGAACTGACCTGTCTTCCCCATGTGATGTTTGTGTAATGTATGTATGGTCAGAAGGGTAAGATGTCGCTGGCACGGCTGGCAGCCTTAACCCAATTTCCCTCGGGATGAATAAAGTATGATCAATCAATCAATCAAAAAAAAACTGTTCACTTGTATACCATTTTTCTATGTATGTTGCCAAAAGTTTCAATAAATCACTGCACCTCTCTGGCAAGTGCAGTGATTACTTTGCCCAGCAATGTCTGGCAAAAATCACCATTCGTAATAATGTAACACTTTAACAAACAAGTCATCTGCAAAATAGAAATCAAGGAATTGTGAGGTGGCCTTTAACGAGGAGAAACAGGAATAAGGATGGGAAAATATCTTCTCCCTATTCTCCATATTTTGGATTTTCATTAAACGTTTCCAACGGCAGTTTACACCCAATATTAGTACATACAAGTGAACATATACAACAAACAAACAATTATGTGCAAGAAAATATCAGCAAAAAATAAAAAAAAATTAGTTTTTTTTCTATTTTTTAAGTCCCCTGAGCTGGGTCCATTCTCATTGTAGAGTCACCGCATAAAACCAGTGAACAACTTTTATAACAAAAAGCAAACTGTGACATTTTTAATGAGGTTTTGTGAGTCCACTTAAAGAGTCACCCAGAGCTTCAAACCGGTGGTGTCTAGCCTCCTGCTGCTGTCTCGTAACAGCTCCATCCATCCATCCATCCATCCATCTTCATCCGCTTTGTCCGGGGCCGGGTCGCGGGGGCAGCAGCCTAAGCAAAGAGGCCCAGACCTCCCTCTCCCCAGCCACCTCCTCCAGCTCATCCGGGGGAACACCAAGGCGTTCCCAGGCCAGCCGAGAGATATAATCTCTCCAGCGTGTCCTGGGTCTGCCCCGGGGCCTCCTCCCGGTGGGACATGCCTGGAACACCTCACCCAGGAGGCGCCCAGGGGGCATCCTTACCAGATGCCCAAACCACCTCAGCTGGCTCCTTTCGATGTGGAGCAGCAGCGGCTCTACTCTGAGCCCCTCCCGGATGGCCGAACTTCTCACCCTATCTCTAAGGGAGAGGCCAGCCACCCTTCGGAGGAAGCTCATTTCCGCCGCTTGTATCCGCGATCTCGTCCTTTCGGTCACTACCCACAGCTCGTGGCCATAGGTGAGGGTAGGGACGTAGATCGACCGGTAAATTGAGAGCTTCGCTTTTACACTCAGCTCCCTCTTCACCACGACGGACCGGTGCAGCGTCTGCATTACTGCAGCTGCACCCCCAATCCGTCTGTCGATCTCCGGCTCCCTTCTCCCATCACTCGCGAACAAGACCCCGAGATACTTGAACTCCTCCACTTGGGGCAACAGCTCCAGTTTTAGATAAAACATTCATGGCTGCAGAGCTGCACATTTTAAATTATCAAGGTAAAGTTTATAAAAGGCCAAAGTGTTTAATTAACTTATTTTCTGAGTAACAGTTAAAAAGCCTAAAGGGATTCAAAGGAAAGCGTAAGCGCCCCACGGACTTGACAAAATCTTCATATTTCTCTCATATAAAGATGTATGTACGCATGCAACAACAGAAACACCTCAGGAGGCTGACAGAAGCACATCATCACAGCTCCAACAAAGCGGCAGCGGCAAAGCAATCCCCCAGCTTATCTCTGGCCCGCCAACAGCACTGTACTGTATACAACAGTCAGCAGCCTAATAGCCTAGAAAGCTACAGTACACCGATATACACGGAGATAGAGAGAATGAAAATGTATAAATGCTATAAAAAATACTGAAAGACATATTTCCCCAGAGAGGAATCCAAGATGCGCACACACACACAAAATCAAGCATAAAGAGGCAAACACACACACACACACACACAGAAAAATGCACATACATAGAGGACTGCTGACGGTGGAGCTTGCCATACCAATTTAACTCAGCTCTGAAGGGGTTTTTCCCCTTAAGTTGGATTTCTGTTACCTGTCACACTGATACGCTCTTAATAATGAAAATACAAGGAGTGTGTGGGCAGACGACAGAGGAGAGATAGTGAGAGGGGATTAGGAGGGAGGGCACACACAGATGTTCCTGACTCTAGGAAATTGAGCAGACAGCTGGTTTGGAATAACAAAACTAACTGAGCAACCGACCAAGCAGCTGTGTGTGTGTGTCCTGAAGAAAACCTCCAAAATATTGAGCTCTATGTGAGCAGATGCTTCAGCAGAACGAGCATTAGACAGCGTCATAAGACTGTTTACTGGTGTTTGTGAGTGCCCTGTCCCACTCCCAGGAGTGTGAGTCTCCAGAGACATCTCTGAAATGATCACAGCGTGTGAGATAATTAGTCACTTAAGTGACGAGGTCCACTGAGACACACACATTGGGGAAAGACGGTGGAGTAAAGTTTTGGGTTTGGTTGTTAGGAGTGTTTTTGTGTTTTCGGTTACAAAGCCAGTTCATGTTTATAGGGAAGTCCATGTCATTTAGTCCATTGAGTTACTTTGCCTAAAATAAAACGTTTTTTAGTAATAAATGCACGAGAGGCTAAAATAATTCTGACCTTGCAGTACAAGGTAATGTGGAACATATATAATCTTTACTCTGACCCTGCACATATGTGTCTTATGTACACAGGACACAGATGGATGCGTGTATGTTCAGAAAGCTTCCAATTAAGGTTCCAATTCAAGCAAAACAAAAGTACTCATTGCTGAATGACTCAATAACATCATGCCAAGTATTCTATTAGATATGCAGTTTTGTATTTGTAAGTTCTTTTTGCTAATTTTTCAATCCTTGATAAGTAGGGCTAACACAAGTTAACTCCCTTTGTTAACTTTCCCTATCACGCACAAAGCCACAAGTCCAGACACGCCTGAGGCCACGTCCACACTAATACGTTTTGTTTGAAAACTCATCTTTTTCTCTCCACACTGAGACGACGTTTTCGGTCAAGGAAAACAGAGTGTTTTGAAAATGCTCTCCAAAGCATATACATTTGAAAACGCCGTTTTCGCGTCGCAGTGGGGCCAGCGAACCAAGCCTTTTCGAAAACGATGACGCATTTAAGTCATGTGATGCAGTCATGTGACCAATTAACCTAAGATAGCGGAGGGCATTATACAGCAGTTGTTTTGTTTAGCCCTATTAAAGATTAATATCAGTCTGTACATGCTCCACATAGCTTTTCTTCAAATTCTTTAATTCTCACTCGCTTTTGCAACTTTGTACTTTTGTGTTACTCGCAGCAACAACTCCACCTCATTGTTAGTCCGTTTAAAAAACTCGGTGCTTTTCTTCAACATTTTGCCGCCACGTTTCAAAGAGCCGGAAAGTAAATAAACGGCAGACAGAAATGAGGCAGGTCGAATCGTCTTGCGCTTCATGCATGCGCAATACAGGAACGTAAGCATTTTTGGTCGTTTCAGTGTGGACGTACAACTCTGTGAAAACGACTGAAAACAATAGTGTGGACGAGGAGCGTTTTCAGAAGAAAACGCCGTTTTCAAATGTATCCGGTCTAGCGTGGACGTAGCCTGAGAGCAACAGCCACACAGCCGCCTCCCTAATATAGTACCTAAAAATGGAGCTACATCAACCACCAGTGTGCAGTACTTTGCAAA